AAGAGTTCTTGAAAATGGTATTTAAGTGCTTAAACCAGAGCAGACTGTCTACATGTCCTAGCCTCATTTACACATCCATTCCTCTAACAATGGGGAAATGACCCAAAGACTGTACCTTCATTAACTCTAAAAATGATGAATCGCGATCAGCTATCCTGTGCTGGACGAGAAGAAAAATAATGTTGAATACATACATTAAAGACTATACCATACTATAGATGTATACAGGAGAGAATTAAGGGTAACTCAAGAATATCCCTTCATTTTACGATTTTATCAGTTTTAATATGCAACTTTGAGATGTTTACATTTTTCTAACATAGTCTTTGTCTATGCAACTTTCCTTTTTTGGCCCATGTAGTTATCCATGTGTATTATCTTGATATGGGCATGAACTGATGACTGAGGCAGGCATCTGATCCTTTTGCGTAGCAAGAATGCACAGACTTTTCAAAACACGGCAAGAATCAAACAAGAGGAATCACATTCTTTCTAATTAGCAACACGCTCTTCTCCATACAACTCACTTAGCTTTTTCTCAAGGGTACACTATCAATAATGCTTTCTGCCTGCCCTTTATCCCTATTTTTCTCAATTTCCTTTTATGATACAACTATTCACAAAATGATACACCTTTCTTTTTGGAATGTGTATGTATTGCCTTTGATCTGAGCAAAGAATCTACTGTTTTTCCCAAGTATTTTTTATGTTTATCCATAATGAAAGAAAAATCCCTAACAGTAGTTTAAAGATGAACTGAAAGCAGTTTAAAAGCATAGAATAGAAAATACATATATATATATATATACTTAGCAGTAACAACATGATAACAAAAGCATAACTTCTACTTATGCACTAGTCATTTAGGAGACTCTCTAATACTGAGATGTTTAATGTAAACAACATGGAAAAAGTTATCTGCTCAAATGTGCACTAGGTGGTAATTTCTCTATTCTGCTACTGGCACAGGTACATAATTCCAATAAATAGGCAGTATTTTTAGGCCTACTGGATGGCAGAATAGTGAAATCTGTACATATTGGTTGCATTTCATGGGAAAACTTTGTTTTTTGTCTAACAATATCTAAGAGTTAGTGTTTCTTTTTCTTTCCAGTGTTGTTTTTTTAATGCAGTGTCTAATTTCAAATTGCATATTTTTAAAATCTGTTCATTGATTGGTTTTAGTTTTCGTGATCTAGAAACAATTCTTGAGGACAATTGCCCACTTAGTACAATATTGCTTCCTTTTATGACAGTAATATTGATGTAAATACTCCTGTATGTAAGGTTAGAAATAGGCTTCTTGTAATATTCACACAATTTGACTTCACTATTTGCAGAAAGCAAACACAAGAAGCACAGACAGCCAATCAGATACATTGTCCCCACTAAAATTAACTTCCATAGAAACATTTTCAATTGTTTACCCTTTTTAAGCTGTAGCAAATGATAGAATAGAATAGAATAGAATAGAACAGAACGGAACGGAACGGAACGGAATGGAATGGAATAGTTCAGTTGGAAAGGACATACAACGATCCTCTAGTGCAACTGCCTGACCGCTTCAGGGCTGACCAAAAGTTAAAGCATGGTATTAAGGTCATTGCCCAAATGCCTCTTAAACACTGACAGGCTTGGGGCATCGACCACCTCTCCAGGAAGCCTGTTCCAGTGTTTGACCACCCTCTTGGTAAAGAAATGCTTCCTAAATGTCCAGTCTAAACCTCGCGTCCTGTCCCTGGATACCAGGGAGAAGAGATCAGCGCCTCGCTCTCCACTTCCCCTCCTCAGGAAGCTGTAGAGAGCAATGAGGTTGCCCCCCAGCCTCCTTTTCTCCAAATTAGACAAGCCCAAAGTCCTTAGTGGCTGGCTCCTCACAGGACATGCCTTCCAGCCCTTCCACCAGCTTTGTTGCCCTCCTCTGGATGCATTCGAGTACCTTAACACCCTTCTTAAATTGTGGGGCCCAGAACTGCACACAGTACTCAAGGTGAGGCCACACCAACGCTGAATACAGCAGGATAATCACCCCTTTTGACCAGCTGGTTATACTGTGTTTGATGGACCCCAGGATGCGGTTTGCCCTCTTGGCTGCCAGGGCACACTGCTGACTCATATTGAGCCTGCTGTTGACCAGCACCCCCAGATCCCTTTCTGCAGGGATGCTCTCCAGCCACTCCTCTCCCAATTTACATTTGTGCCCAGCATTACTCCATCCCAGGTGTAGAATCCAGCATTTGTTCTTGTTAAATTTCATGCCATTAATGATTGCTCAATGCTCCAATCTACCTAGATCCCTCTGCAAGGCCTCTTGTCACTCAAGAGAGTCAACAGCACCTCCCAGTTTGGTATCACCAGCAAATTTGCTAATGGTGCGTTCAATTCCTTCATCCAGATCATTGATAAAAATTTTTAACAGAACTGGCCCTAGAATTAAGCCCTGAGGAACACCGCTGGTGACTGGTCACCAGCCAGATGTAGCCCCATTCACTACCACTCTTTGAGTCCTGCCCTTCAGCCAGTTCTTCACCCAGGCTCCTACCAGCTGAGACCGCTCTGTCAGCATCCTATACGTTCTTGTAGGGCTTTGTCTTATGTCTTTCTCTAAGAAAATCTTAATTACAGTGTCCAAATGATTATGTCAAATAGGCAAGGACATGGACCATCTTTTGGCAAACTAGTATCTGCTTATTTCCTGTAAATTTATTGTTTTTACATAAGATACTTTTAAGATGGGTAAATCTGTCATTAGCACAGAACCATCCAAAATGGTTTGAATTTTTAATATTTCCACTACACTGTTTCTTTTCTTGTTATAAATGTAATGATATATCAATTATTATTGTGGCATAATGAAAACATTCCTTTTTTTCACAAGCTGTAGAATAATCTCCTCATCTTTTGCAGTGATTGAACATGTAATGGTATTCTGCTCAGACCCTGTAAAACTGAACTGCAGGAAATTAAGATTTACTCACCTACACTTCTCCTGCACATTTAAGTAAAAACAGTACTATTTCTCTCAGGACCAAAACCAACAAGGTATCACACAGTCAACATGGCAAAAATGTTGCTAGTCCCATGGCAGAAACATTTGTTATGCATAGTAGGACAGTTATTCCACATAGAAATGAACATACACAGTTCAGTGTCCATTACCTGTACTCTGAAATGAATATTCATTAGAAAAAGACCAGAAAGAGTCCATAATATTCACACACCAAACAGGGCCTCCCTTACTGAAGTTTAATTTAACTCTGTTCCTCCTAGCTAAAAAGAAAGCTATTTAATATATGTTAAAGAAAGAGCTACTCTGGGCTTGTTCCTCACAACTGATACTTCTTCCCATTACCTCTTTTCAGCTTTGTCTATTTCAGCTGTTCTTAGGATGTGTAGGAAGCACGCTGCCTCCCAGCCCTGCTACCCACGTCTACGCCTCCGTCTCTCATTATGTCTCTCCCACTTCCCTCCTTCCCTGAGCAAGGATGCTTTTTTCCTCAGCTTAGTCTTCTTGTGAAAAATATGGTTCCAGCTGGTCCATGCCCCTCCTCTTTGAAACCAGCTAGGAGCACCTGGGTAATTCTGATCACCACCTTCCCATAAAGACCTTACAGTGCTGGATGCAGGTCCCAGTATGACGTTTGCTTCCCTGTTGGCAGAAGTCTTACGGCAGAAAGAGTGAGGTGGCTTTCAGACAGTTCTGTTTGCCTCTTGCAAAATCCATATTTCACAAGCAATGCTGGAAATGCTGGATTGGGTCTACTCAACTGGCCCATACCAAGTATTATTTGTACTTTCAGGCACCAATACTGGCAAATTATCTAATGCACATTTTTGATTATTTATTTGTTTTCCTTGGGAAAAAGCTGCAGGGGGGAACTAGTCATAGACTATTTAGTGGGAGCAGCTGCAAAGGCAGCCAAAGCAAGGCCTTCAGACAGAAATTTTTAAAGCTTTTTGCTGTGTCTTCTCCAGCCTGTACCACTGGCTTGTTAGGTCAACTCTGACTTATTTCTTCCTCAGCTACCTTTGCACCTCACGTTCACATCTGTAATTGCATTCTTTCTCTGCCCTGCTCCCCTTTCCTCAATACCCTCATTGTCTTTAACCTGTCCTTTCCTCACTGTTGCCTCTTAACATCCTCATAAAAAAGATAAAAAAAAAAAAAGACTGTGAAATCAACCGTTTGCAGACACAGTTCCTACACTGTGTAACTTGGACTATTTCTGCATTGTGCTTATTCAGTTCCTAGTACAAAGAATACCTCTTTTTGTCAGTCTTTAGGTATTGGAAGCAAAATCACACACGGAAAATAAAGTAAAATGAACTGTGGTAATGCCAGACTATGATTTATAAAACACTGAAGAATTATTTTGTATTGGGAAGACACTTCATCTCAGATGCAACTGAGAAAGCAAGTGAATTTTTACTATCAACTGTTTCATACATACAATGTTTTTGCACAGAAATGTGGAATTTTAAGTACATTGCCAATTGTATTGAAACAGATTGGTTTCTGTTGTTAAGAAAGATTTCTTGCTTGCTTTACCTGAGCTGGTAGAAGCAGGTGACTTGCTGCGTCGGGATGGGCCCGGGCTCTTGGTGGTGCTCCTACGTGAAGTCGAAGCTATTTTGGTATAGGAAGTGGATTTCACCACCCGACATTCTAAAAGACAAAGAAACTGCATAAGTTAGCAATTAAGAAAGTCAGCAAGATTGTGTAACAGAAAGAGCACTGAAAAGCACAAACATTTAGCCCACGCTTGTTTTCATTCATCTTGAGGAGTTTTATGGGAAAATATAAAATCTGTATAAATGGCTCCATTAAAATCCAAGTACAGTATGTACCACATCCCAGACAAAGCACTGCTGCAGTAATCCAGACTTTTAGATACCATGGTTACCGCAGGTACTTAGGACAGCTTAATTTAACAGTGCTGAGACTACACATAAAATTTATTTGCTTTTGAAGATTTCAGCACAAGTGGTTTTTTTTGTAAACGATCCAAATGCAATGTAAGCATTTTTGTCAACCTCGGCAGTCTCCTCTAGAAGAACCGGAAGGCTGCTTTTATATATCAAAATGTTAAGACTGTGCAAGATGACGCAGGTGTCTATCACTCATGAAAGGTTTGAAGAAAGTGAAGCAGGTTTGTTGTTCCTGCTTAATCCTCTGGTGAGCAACAGCCCACATTGTATAGCACACGCAATTCATCACAGGTTGAGGGAAATGGCACTACTTGCTCATGAGAGACATCAGTAAAATCAATGAAGAGGCGAAATTACCCTCCCACCTGAGAACCCTGGAAGATGTTCAGGTTAGAGTTTATATACACCCACAGAGCTCTGTAGGCATTCTTGCATTACGCCTGCAAAATGGTTCTTGGCCTGAAGATGAAAGAACTTAGTGTGCATAACACTGATATCTTGCACTCATAATGGATACTAAATTAATCACCAGACATATTATACAGTCAGGGAAAAAAAAAGGATTTCCAATTTTTAGCCAATATACAATTAGAAGTCTGCAGCAATGTTTATACTGTCTTCACCTGAGGATGTCAGTATACTTCACTTGTTTAAAAATATATCAGTAAACATTTAGTTTCATATCAGACCTGTTCCTCATTTTCTTCCCATGGTTAAGGTTCCTTAACATAGGTTAAGAGAAATAAACAAGAATTTTTTCTCCCTAGTCAGAAAATACCATGTACAAGCCTGCACATTATTTAGTCTTCACAGATGATCAGTGGAGCCTGTAACATAGTTTAGACAGATTAGAGAACAAAGAAATAAAACTGAGCATAACTAATTAACTTAAACATATCCACCAGAGAATGATGTCATGAAGTGTATTTCTCTTGGCTGCCCTGTTTGTCTTTCATCAAGCTGTGGAAGGAAGCAAGAACTGATGTGTTACTGAGGGAACATCCAGCACAGCTGAGAGCAGAGGGGACCAGAGAAATACCCTGGTTTTCCCAAAGAAGCTTTTCTTCCCAAACTCTCCCACCTTCCTAATGCCCAATAGCAGCTAATTTCTTTCTGTTGACATTTTATGTGATTCATTGATGACTATTCTCATTTTATACTGAACGATGAGTGGAAATGGAGAAAAACATTACTCTGTTGTAAGAGGAAATTATCAACTGAAAACAGGAGGAATCAGATGAAAGCTTTCAATTAGATTCCAGATGTATAGAAACCATCTATACATGTCGAATGCAAACAGGTTCTTTACCTTTCTTGTAAACAAAGATTTAAAATGTCCAAACACCTAATAGCCAACTTGTTTGATAATGTAAAACTAAGACGTCACTCTTTGAGGGGCCCCATTCACAGCAATCAGTCGAGAAGGGAACTGAATATTCTAATGCTCAATAAACAAAAAGACTAAAGTAGAATGACCCAGTCAAGCTAGAACGATTAGACTATTGTCATTTGCTTAGCAAAAAAACTTAAAAGACCATGAAGAAAACAGCCAGCTACTTTCTCTAATATACTTTACTGTGTAAAAAGCTTTCCTCTGTTTCCAGCATGTAAAGAAAACAATTATCTGCATCCCTCTCTTGCAATTCATGCTATGCACTAAACTTTAACTCCCCTCTTATTACAAGTATTAATACTCATTCAAGTTCTATGAATACCTTATAAGCACTCAGAGTTAGAATCAGGTTAGAAATACGATTTTGCATTTGAATGTGTATTTCCCTTCACAGTATTAGAAAGGACTAAGCAGAAAGTGGTACGAAAGCGAAGAAGAGGCAACTAAATGCACATCCAGGTTATCTTTCTAACCTACTGATACAATGCTGTCTAGGACAATACTCAAGACAGTCCTTATATCATTTTCACGCAACACGTTCAGAAATTAGAAGAAAAGAATTATTAAAAGCTTATTCTTCTTCATCTGGGGTTTGTCTCACATGGGCAAGGAAGGCGTGGGTGACTTTAACTGCAAAGGTTAACTGCATCTTGTCACCATCTTCCTTCTCTCCCAGCAAGAAGTGCTCCTGCTCACATACTACGGAGGGGTACTACCATTTCTGGGAAAGAGGGAGGCTGGCAGCTGACTGCACCCATCAGGGCATTTGACCACCCCGAACTACTGACAGTCTCCTTAGAAAGGGTGATGTTAGGAGTGGGATTCAAACTGTCCTGATGGGCTACATGTAGACCATGACCTGTTATTGGAGTATCCCTGTACTAGTAGCATATTATCCTATGAGGAAGCCACCTCTTATAGCTAGCTGAACATTAAATCTCTCACCACTGGAGCAGAAACACAGATGATCATATGTTCAAATGATAATTTGAAATGAACAATTATCACAGGATCACAGGATAATCTAGGTTAAATATGAGAAGATCCCTAGTCCAATTTCCTGCTCAAAGCTAGAAGTAGGCTCACATTCACAGTCCTGGTCCACCTGGGGGACACCTCAACCAACCTGAGGAACAACACAGCAGGGCATAAACAGACCAGGAGGATCCTGGACAGCACCAATGACAACTTCCTGATGCAAGTGATAGAGAAACCAGTGAGGAGAGATGCTCTGCTCACACTCTCAAAAAAGGAAGGGCTCACTGGGAATGTGAAGGCCAAAGGCAGTCTTGGCTACAGTGACCATGAGATAGTGGAGTTCAGGATTGTGAGAAGATGGAGCAGGGCAAAAAGCAAGATCACAATCCTGGACTTCAGGAGAGCAGGGATGTGCATGGAAGAGTCTCATTGGATAAGGCCCTGGAGGGAAGAGGGTCCCAAGAAAGCTAATTAACATTCAAGGATCACCTCGTCGAAGCTCCAGAACAGTCCATCTCAACAAGCAGAAAGTTGGGCAAAAATGCCCAGAGGTCTGCACGGGCGAACAAGTTGTAACCTGGAAGGAATATAGAGCAAGTTTGAGCATGCAGAGACACAGTTAGGAAAGCCAAAGCCCAGCTGGAATTGAATCTGGTGAGAGATGTCAAGGGTAACAAGAAGTGCTTCTTTATGTACATACGGAACAAAAGGAAGACTAGGGAAAACATGCACCCACTGCTGAATGAGGCAGGGGCCCTGGTGACACATAACATGGAAAAGGCTGAAGTACTGAATGCCTTCTTTGCCTCAGTCTTTACTAGCAAGACTGGCCTTCAGGAATCCCAGGTCCCAGAAGCAGAGGGAAAGTCTGGAGAAAGGAAGATCTACCCTTGGTAGAAGAGGATCAGATTAGAGAATACTTAAGAAAAGTAGACATACAGAAGTCCACAGGACCTGATGGGATGCACCCTCCAAGTGCTGAGGGAGTTGGCCGATGTCATCGCGACGTCGCTCTCAATAATCTTGGTGATTGGGATAGATGCCTGAAGACCCAGAAAATCTCACTCCTATCTTCAAAAAGGGCAGAAAGGAGTACCCAGGGAACTACAGACGGGTCAGCCTCACATCGATCCCTGGGAAGGTGACAGAACAATGAATCCTGAAAATTATTTCAAGGCACATTAAGGACAAGAAAATAATCCGAAGTACTCAGCATGGATTCACCAAAGGGAAGTCTTGCTTAACCAACTTGATAACCTTCTGCAATGAAATCACTAGCTTGGTAGACAAGGGGAGAGCAGTGGATATTGTCTACCTGGACTTCAGCGAGGCTTTCAATGCTGTCTCCCATAAGATCCTCATAGACAAGTTGTTGATGTATGGACTTGATGAGCAGACAGCAAGGTGGATTGAAAAAAGATTGAATGGCTGGGCCCAGAGGATGGTGATCAGTGGCATGAAGTCTAGCTGGAGGCTAGTAACTTGCAGTGCACCCCAGGGGTCAACACTGGGTCCAGTCCTGCTCATCTTCATTAACGATCTGGATGATGGGGCAGAGCGTACCCTCAGCAAGTTTGCTGATGACACAAAACCAGGAGGAGTGGCTGATACATCAGAAGGTTGTGCTGCCATCCAGGGGACAACATGCTAGAGAAATGGGCTGACAGGAACCTCATGAAGTGCAACAAGGAGAAGTTCGAAGTCCTGCACCTGGGGAGAAACAACCCCAGGCACCAATATATGCTGGGGGTCACCCAGCTGGAAAGCAGCTTTGCAGAAAAGGACCTGGGGGTCCTGGTGGACAACAAGATGACAATGGGCCAGCAATGCACTCTTGCTGCAAAGAAGGCAAATGGTATCCTGGACTGCTTTAGGAGGAGTGTTGCCAGCAGGTCGAGAGAGGTGATCCTTCCCTCTGCTCAGCACTGGTGAGGCCACACCTGGAGTGCTGTGTCCAGTTCTGGGCTCCCCAGTACAAGAGAGACATGGACATACTGGAGAGAGTCCAACAAAGGGTCACAAGGATGATTAAGGGACTACAGCATCTCTCATACGAGGAAAAGCTGAGGGAGCTAAGACTGTTAAGCCTAAAGAAGAGAAGACTCAGGGGGAATGTTATCAATGTATACGAATACCTTAAAGGAGGGTGCAAAGAAGATGGAGCCAGGCTCT